ATCAATAACTCAGCCAAAACATAAACAATAACTCAGCACAACATAATCTATAACTCACTCAAAACATAATCTACTAGGTGGTTTCCTGCACCATGTGCATAAATAAAAATTTTAAAAATAAATTTATATTTAAAAATAAAATTTAATTAATTTTAAAATTTATTATTTTATTACATTATTAATTTTACATTAATTATATGTACACATTAAGAGAAAATAAACAGTTTCAAATATATGACAGTTCTCTCGAATAGAATTTTTTAGTTTTTTTCACAAAAATAGATCTTAAAACTAAAATGACCAAAACATCATTTTTTATTTTGAAAATTTCAACTTTTTAAAAAAAAAAATTGTAATCCTGTCCCCAAAACCCCAATCCTCAACTTTAAACAAAAAAGTTTACGATTAGTTAACCCAAAGGATATAAGTGTATATTTACTTATTTTTGATAAAACATTTAAGTCTATCTTGGTCATTTTTATTTTAAGGTCTATATTTGTGATTAAAACTTTTTTTTAGGTCTATCTTCAAAAAAATTTCTTAAATGTATATTCAATAATATATATGTATCTTTTATCTTTTGGTTAAGTTATATTAAATCAGATTCTATACTATTAAGAGAAAATTTTGTTAGATATATAATTATCAAAATATAAAAATAAATAATATTTCTAAAATTTATAGATGTTATAAATAAAGCTAATGGTATTGGGATTAGAACATTTTAATTTTAAAAAAAACTGCATAAAATTTTGAAAAAAAAACTTATTAATAAAAAATATATAATTATAAAAATACACTTAAAAATATTTCAATATTTTTAATATTATTATATTTATTTCTACGATTATATTATTTATTATGTTAATGATAACTTATGAGTTCTTTTTCTTATCACTATTTTAATACAAATTTTTGTTTAATCAAATATAAAAAGTAATATAAAAATATTTTTTTTTTATTTTAAATTATATTTAAGAATATGCATGTATATATTTAAAATTATAATCTTAGATATTTTTTATCTATTTATTTTAATTAAATATATTAAATAAATTTGTAGAAAATTTTATAATTATCAAAAATTAAAATTAGACAATATTTATTAAATTTTTAAATATATAAGAAATTAATAATTTTACGATTAAATTTTAATAATTTTCAAAAAATGTATACATTTTTGAAATTTTTGTAATAAAATTGTATAGTTTTAAAATATATAATTAAATGATATTTTCGAAATTTTTGATGCCATATTGGTATATATTTATTTTAATGATGATTTATTAGTAACTACCATATTTTAAAAATATTTCCAAAAATATAAATCGACATTAAATGTAATATATGAGTTGTTACCATATTTTATAAAGTTTTCCAAAAATATATATTAACATTAAATACAATTGTCCATGTCATATTTAATCATATGCCATATCATCAATTCTAGTAGACATGTCATCATTTTTTTGTGAAACTAATTCTAGAGAGGACATGTGGCAAAATCACTTCACAAATAATGTATAGGGGATAACTCAGCCACAGTAATCAATAACTAAGCTAAAACATAATCAATAACTCAGCCAGATCATAATCAATAACTCAGCATAATCTATAACTCAGTCGAAATGGAAAACTATATTTTCACAACGTAGAGCAAACTCAACTCAGCCACACTATACAATAACTCAGTTACAACATAATCTATAACTCAGACACGTCGTAAATCAAACTCGGTCACAATATAAATCAAACTCAGCCACAACATACCATAGGAATACATTGCTCTTGTACACAGTCTGGCCATGGGAAGACATTAAATTGATGTGGTTTATGATTGAATAAGGTCAGGTTGTGATATATAATAAAACTTGATGAACCTTGAGGTAGAATCTCAGCCTTTAGGTTCCTATTCAGAGTTCTTGTTAAATGTGCTTAAAATGGTGAATTTGAAAATATCATGTATTCTAAATTGCTTAATTTAATAACACATCGCAAAGAAACGGTTTCATTTTGCATGTGGATCTTACTGGTTTCGGAAAAAGAATCAGATGGCATCGATAATAACTATTGTACATGCTTTCTGTTTATTGCGTACAGACTTTAGCTCCAGCAAGAATGTTAACTTCAACAGGACCTGTGAGCAAAACCCATTGGACAGACTCAACAGCTAACAATCCTTCACCTCCTTCCACTATTGGTATTTACGATCTCTACCATATCACTAACTCATATCCAAGAGCAGTGTATATGGCCTTCGATTTCGATTTTATGTTCTTCTGTTCATCAACACACCATGTCAATGCTTGTAGGTTGATATCTTTTCCCAACTTCAGATATATAGAACAGCAAGATATAAAACCAAAAGAAACCACTCAACTACTCTCGGTCAGCCTCTCCATCATCTTTGTTTCTCTTGTTCACTCACTCTCTATTTTTGTTCTAAAACTCACTCTGTTTTGCTTGTGTTTCATTATTACACAAGACACACATTCTCTTTACTCTCTCCCGTTTTTGTTCACTTGTTCTTGTAGAGAGAGAAGAGAGTAACCTTTGAATGTCTATATTGTTACTTTCTCCAACTTTCTCTTATTAGAATTGTATATTTTTCTTACAACAACACAACACTAACTTTTCTAGTTACACAATCCAAGTCTTTTTTTACTTTCTTCCTCCTTGTTATCACGCTTCTTCTTCACTCTTCCGTTTCTTGCTCATCAAGTCTCTTCTTCTTCTTCCTTCTTTGTAGCTTGTTATCTGCTATTCTTCTTCGTTCTTCTTCTTGGGACTTCATCTTAATCCACTTCGTTTTTATATTTAATCAAAGTTCAATTCCAACTAAAACTATTTTTTAACTCGATGCTCTTCTTCTCCACCTTCTTACTCGTTGTTTGATACTTTTTCCAAAATTACAAAATCGATTTTGGTTCATTCCATGGATGAACATGTTTTGGTGAAGGTGAAATCGTAAGTGGATTTGAAAGCATAGAATTTGAGACTAGAATTTGACAAACAATTGTATTCCTATTTTCTGTGTAAGCGATGAAGAAAAAAAAACCATGTACGGTAACAACGTTAGAGCATGTTTATTAGTAAAAATCTTAAGAGTTTCTTAAGTGGGCTATTATGAATACTAGTTGCATACTCTCCGCGCAAGCGCGGAGCTGAGACCATTGTGTTTGCGTGTATTTTTTTCGATTGTTAGTTTAGGGGATTCTTCTAATGACACCAAATAATAATGAAATGGAAAAAATGTAGTAAGAGTGTAAAGTGAAAATATTGTATATATAATCTGTTAAATGTTATTTATATGCGAAGTAAGATTTATAGGAATAGTTAGGCTATAATATAGTTTTTAGTGTGTAAAAGTAGGTGTCTTTTTTTCTGTAAAAAGTTTTTATATCGTAGGTCAAAACTTGATATAATTCTATATTTATAGTATGTATATTTTTATTAAACAATTTATCAATTTGAAATAAATAATTAAGTTAATATTCGTTGTTTATGTTTCATTAGATAGGTTTTTATATATGTTTTTTTGTAAGTTTGGGTTTTGTTCATAAATGATGTGGTATTTTTATCTACGGCGTCATCGAATGTGGGAATCCATTCGCCGGAGTCTGGATTCGGCGGTAAGGAATGTTTTCAATGAAATTATAGTAGTTATTAAAATGTAAGAGAAATTACATATTCATTTAATAAACAACGAAAAATACTTAATTTTGTTGTTTATTTTATTTTATTTTACATACAAATATTTTGAAAATATATTAGGAATGTGTTAAATGTTATTTATATGTGAAGTAAGATTTATAAGAATAGTTAGGCTATAATATAGTTTTTAGTGTGTAAAAGTAGGTGTCTTTTTTTCTGTAAATAATTTTTATATTGTAGGTCAAAACTTGATATAATTCTATATTTATAGTATTTATATTTGTATTAAACGATTTATATTTTAAAATAACCTTAATTAAGTTAATATTCGTTGTTTAAGTTTCATTAGATAGGATTTTATATATGGTTTTTTGTAAGTTTGAGTTTTGTTCATAAAATGATGTGGTATTTTTATCTATTAAAATGTAAGATTATTAAAATGTAAAAGAAATTACATATTCATTTAATAAATAACGACAAATAATTAAATTTTGTTGTTTTTTTATTTTATCTCACATACAATTTTTTGAAAATATATATTAGGAAATATGTGCAATGATTTAACTTTTTGAGCTCGTATTCTATATTATTCAAGCCTCATTAAGCCATCCACGTAGGCAGCCGCGTGAGACTCACTTTTCTTTTTTTGATCTCTCTTCGTTTTTGGATCCATTTTTTATTATTTTTGGGTTGAGCTATATTATAATAGGATATTTTTAAGGCTATTTAAGTCATTCGCGTAGGCAACCGTGTGGGACTTGCTTTTTTTTTTTGTTTTTTTTTATTGTTCGTTTTTGGATCCATTTTTAACTATTTTTGGGTTTGTACTTGTTAAGCTTTAAGGTTTATCCAACTATTTTGATCTTTAAAACAATAAGCCCAAAAACATAAAAACCTTATAAACAAAAAGCCCATATGATAATAACTCAAATAAAAAAATAAAAAATACATGATAGCTGCGTGGTTTGAACCCACGATCTTGCATGATTAATTAGACACCTTATACCACTTGGCTAAAGTGTATTTCATTGTTCATAATCATCTTACCAAGACTATGGGTTTTTAAAAATACGTACGGGACCCACAAAACTGCTGACGTGACGCGCTATGGAGCCTAAAGTCTACTATTATAATATAGATTTAACTAATATCATTAATCTAAGAAATTTTATTAAGATACAATTAATTATGGTGGTTTATTGGTAGTTTCTGAATTAAAGTTTTTAACAATAAAAATCAGTGCATGCACTTATCAGATAATCAAACAAGAGAGCTTGATCAATGCACTTATCAGATAATCTAACAAGAGAGCTTGATCAAGCGAGAAAGAGTAGCAGAATATATTATTACATACCGCTGTTGCGACCCATAAGCTTGACAACACCGATACCGTCCTCTATATTCTCAGCTTCCACATGTGTTGTGTTGATAGCTCTTTGAGCCTCTTCTACAGCTGTGTCAAACCCAACAGATTTGCCTATCACCTGCAACAACAGAAAAATGTGAGACTTTTACTTTCTCTATGAAGGTGAAGTGATGTAAGAGAGGGATGCATACATATATGTATGTCATTATTGATTGTTTTGGGGATTCCAACAACTGCAACTTTCAGGCCACGTCTTCTGATCTCCTACATTGTTACAATCACAAGATCAGTCAAATACTGAAATAGTATAAACTTGCAAAGGTTAAAATGAGATTTACCTCAAATATAACCGATGCTCCTCATTGAGTTCCATCTCCACCTATAATGTAAACCTGAACGATGACAAAAACAATCACATCAAGAAGTGAGTTTTTTATTTACATTCCTTTAGGATGAAACAAGGTGTAAAGTGGTGGTTATAATCCAAACCTGATTGATTCCTCGATCTTGAATGCTGTCAACTATCTTTATGGTATCATGGCCACCTCGTGAGGTCCCAAGGATGGTCCCTCCTCGCTTATGGATATCATTTACGAATTTAGAGTCCAAGGAGACGTGTTCTTAGCATAAAATCCTCTATACCCACCCTGAAAAAAAAGATTCAAGCTTTGAGAAAATGAAACAAATAAGAGCATGTATGTTGCTAGATGAGCATGAAAACCAAAAAAAAAAAAAATATATATATATATATACATACCTTCTGAGGGACACTGTCATCAGCATCAACAAAGTATTACCTAAAAATTTCCGCACAAAAATCAAGAAAGAAAATCATGTTACGATTGCAAGGTAACATAACTAAGAACACCTTATTTGCCTACATAACGGTGAGGAAAAGAGACTACTTAACAACTGAGTAAGCTGGATTGTCTTGCAATGGATTAGGATAAGTCTGCAGTTACATAGATCATCAACAGCTTAAACCAGAAAGTTTTGATGGAAGATATCTGAATCAGAGATGGGAGTATACAGGAAGACCGGGAAGGTAATCGGAGAAATGAGGAATGTCAGAGACCAGGAAGGTAATCGGAGAGATCAAAAGCCAGAGAGAAGAGAAAACCAATGAGAGCTATGAGATGGAGAAGAGCCACCGCCGATTTGCTTCGTCGCCGAGGAGATCACCCACGATCGTCTCCCCCTTCGTCGAGGAGAAACCGAGAGTTTTCTTCGTCGACGAAAAATGATATGCTTTCTCCCCTCGCATTCTCCCAAACGCATATCATCCCGACGCGTGTCCAACAAAATGCATCCCTTGTAGCTCTTAATTACGCTACGTGCCTTAAGGTAATTCTCTTTTTTTTCTTTTCTTTTTAATTCTTGTCAGTAAGTAAGAGCTCCTAAAGATACCCCAATAATTATGGTCTTAGTTCCTGTTTTTATAAAGCTATTTTCCTTAAATTTTTTTTAGTCTTAATATTTTTTTAACTAATCCTAGGTGGCAGTTTGATTAGTGTAAAGAAGTGGGGTGAATTGTATAACTCACCTTAGGGTGGTGAACCCAAATTCAAAAAAAAAAAATGTAAGATTTCGAAGAGTTTTCTCTCTGACTCTATACTTCTCACAGTTGTTAACAGCTTCCGTTAAAATTACACAATAACTCAGACACTCGGTTAAGAGGTTAGTTAGACAATTTGTCAGTTAGCTAAGAACATGTGGTTGATCACATGCATTATCAGGAACCATTAACTAAGGCTTTGTTTTATAAAACTAGTATTTGTTTAAATTAAAATCGTTAGAAATAGTAGAAAAAGATTAAATTGACATACTTGAACCATCTGCAGTTTAACAAAAGTGAGTTGAAGATATTCGTAAAGACATTTTAGTCAATTTGTAGTAGGTACATATCGCAGTAGACATCAAGCGCTCTTCACTAAAGTCAAATGTGTGAAATCATCGTTTCTGATGAAGAACATGCAAAGAGTTGTTTGATTTTTTATTGGCATGCTAATAGTCCATATTGTTTGAACCGAGAGTTTGATTAGAGTATTATCACTATATACGAACTTAAATCAACTGGATTACATTACGATGGAATTGAGAAATAATTTATTACATCGTTGGAAACCAAATAGGAACAAATAAAAGCCAACAGAATGTAAGCAATAATAACATGGAATCAAACAGTTTTATTTATATATGCTTCATGTGAAACAAATAAAAGCCAATAGAATATAAGCAATAATAACATGGAATCAAACAGTTTTATTTATATATGCTTCATGTCTCCATCTCAATAGAGTTTAAGGAAAATATATAGTTATTTTTTGGAGCTCACGAAGGATCTCACTGGCTTCAACTAATGTACTCAGGAAGTGGGATCCGTCCTGCTTCAATGTCATTAACATCTGCAACGAGCAATTCATAGTGTCTTTTTACCTCTTCAACTGTTTTTCCGCTTCCGCTAACTGCTCTTGCCACATTTTGCCATCGGTCAGGAGTGTCCTTGTCGAATATAGCCAAAGCCACTTCGAACTGTTTGTTCTCTTTGGCTGTCCATGATGAGGTAGAGTTCCGGGAAGTGCTGACTGACTTGGAAGCCATTAGTATGGATATGTAGGATAAAAGAAAGAGGGATGTTGAGAAGTGGGTTTGTATCAACGATGAACAATGTTGATTTGCATTTAGTGGAAGAGTGTGGAGCTCCTTATATATTGGAGAAAAAAGACATATAAGCCAGTTGGAGCCTTGGAGGAATATCTATTTTGAAATGGAAGATTTCGAGTGACACATTAGCAACCACATAGATCTATGATGATCATCATCATTATAGTCCCTAGTTAGTGAAACTGAGAGATTCTTTAACCATTGCTATAGAAAATTAGGATGCTTCCTTTTCTTGATAACATATTTAATTCTTTAGGGTAAACCAAAAATACTATTGATCCCTCCCTTCCCTCTTTCAGTATTTTTAATCTTATGCTACTCAAATGTGATAAGAACATTAAGATCAAATTACATTTTATACGTTTGTGATTTATCCTTATTACAACTCATTTATATGTAATGACATATCTCCTATACTCTTAAATACAAATATCTTTATGCTTAAATGAAACTGATTGTGTATAAAATACACCACAAACAAATAAATGTATTTAGCTGACAATTATCTCATCAAGAGCATGTGATTGTTAAGCTTGTGTTTAATATTTTTTGCAATTTACATCTTGTGTGATTTTGATAATAATATCTATTAGAGTTCCTTTTTGCAGATATTATTGGATTAGCGGTTAGATGATATATGTCTTTTCTCTGATTAAGCTTTTATTTAATTCTCTTACATTGCAAGGACTGTGACGTGAATCGGATATTGCCATTATTGGTCTTAAGCTTATTGAGCAACTTCAGGTAATCTTACAATTACTGGTTTATATTGAGCATCTATAAAAATGGAACATCTTTTCATGAATATATATAAAACCGTATTCAAGTCGGATGCTTTAGCTAGTCGGTGTAGGTCTACGTCAGAAAGTGATTCCAATCATTAGACAATAAGACAAATCCCAGACGACACACAGTACTAAGATTTTGTACTTTGACATAATCAATCAGAGATTTTAACCTTCTAAAACCGTGGGTGCCACGGAATAACAATCTTTGAAATATTAGGTCCGTTTATTCAAAACTATCAATATGTTATCCTCATCAAATTAATCTTTGTTGCACCCTCTTTTTTTTTGTCCACGTTGCAGCCTCTTCTAAACTAGTTTTAGTTTTCTTACCCTAGCTCTTTTATATCTTGGGGTCTTGTTGCACAAACATAAATTGAAATGAGAAAGGGAAAAGCAAAACATATCTAGGAATACTCAGGTGTTCCTGTATTTTTTTTCTTCCTTTGAACATGGTTAGAGAATCAGACAAATTCCCAATCTTGGGATCTTATCTTCGAGAGATCTTCTGCGTCTTTGCCACGTTTCCTGTGTTTCTTGGTTTTAAACATTGTTCCATTTAATCACAAGATGGTGGTTTAGTGGTAAGCAGACTTTAGGATTGATAAGTAATCCGAATTCGAAGACATCCGAATATATTTTATCTTTTGGCCACGTAGATATAAGTCTATTTTACAGTTTTTGAAAAATATCCAAAGTGAAAGTCCATTTGTGGATGGTACTATCTCTTTGGAGATTAATCTGAATTGAGATACCCATAAATTTTTTTTAAAAAAAACATTTTTTAATTATCAGATTATTATACTACTGCGAGGTTATTGTCTTACATGGTTTTCCTTAATGGTTCTCACAACAAATTATATGAGTTTTATATCTATGAACATGTATTATTAAATTCTTAAATGGATTTAGAAAGGATAAAGAAACAAAATAGTACTGAAATATAGAATAATTATCTCTTATATAATCATGCAGGTATAAAGCGGTTTTTAGCATTGTAGAGAATTGGTGTCTTCAATTAGATTTTTCAAAGACGTTTTAACTTTTTTTATATATTGTGAAATATTAGAAATTTGGTCAATGTTTATAGGGAATATATATATATATATATATATATATCTTAATTAAAAAATTACTACACATTACATATATTATATTCTTAACTGAGAACACATTTAAGTGAAACCGTTTTAAATTGATTGACTTTAAAATATGACATAACTAGAAAGATGTGTATTGCTAATTCAATGCCACCTATAATTATAATTACCTAAATTGTTGATTGGACTTGTGAGTAGACAAAAGTTTCAATTAAAAGATAAACAAAATAAATTTTTATTCAGTTGAACTCATTTCGTAAACAAATAAATATGTTAGTCAAAAAATATAGAGTAGTTAAATCAATAGACTATCATTACATAGAAATCTAATCATTACTATTACAATATTAATAAACAAATTTATCTTAATATATGTCTATATATAACTTTATCATATTCTAAAGTATACATGATAAATATTTTAATTTATATGAACTATATAATTTTATCTCAAAGATAAAAAATAACAATTTCAGCATATTATAAAAAATATATATGATAAAGAATATATATATATATATATATATATGTATGATAAAAGTATTAAATATAATTATTAGTATATATGTAAAACGGTGTTGTAAATGTAGTTTAATATGAAGACTATGATAAGATCCGCACAAATGCGTGGGATGAGAATTTTGTATAAATAAAATAAGAAATATATATTTTTATGTTTTTATATAGAATAAATGAAAAATTAGTAATTATTATGTATATAATTAAACTAGCGTGAACACATAAATGAAAAAGCACACTTCTTTATTTATAACCACTTTATATAAGTAAATCTAAACAATAAATGATATTAACATAGATATATATATATATATATATATAGTACATTTCTAATTTGGCTATCTATTAAATAAAGTTTCATACTTATATGGTTTTATAATCATTTGTAAACAATTAAACAGTTTATAACATAATTTTAATGTGAAAGGTTAAATCTTTATAGTAATTCATAATCATTTTAAAAGATCAATTCAAAGTTTGAAATTAAAGTATTAAATTTTCAAGACTTAATCAATGCAAACTTTGAAATTAAAATATTTTAAAATATAGTTTAATTTAAATGTCACTATATATATAGTCTTAATATCTATTAAATGATATGCTTACTCATTAATTTTATAATCGTTTGTATTTTGTTATAACAAAAAAATTAAACTATTAATCAAAAAATATTTTATGTGAAATTTTTAAACATTTTATTAATTTATAATCGTTTTTAAAAATTTAAAATATAACTTATACGAAAAATCCAATTTTTATAAGATAGGTAATGTGATTGTTTAATTCATTTTCAAAATACATATTTAACAAAAAGAATAGAGGCTACCAAAATTTTATCAAATCTTTCATATTCAAATCATTAATTGTGTCATATATACATTTTAACCACATAAGGTAATTCCATAGATATTATTTAAGAAAAAAAATATATGATATTAATAATAGTTTTATAATTAGTATAAATAAAAGTATATTATATGTTTATACGGACCAACATTTTTTTCTAGAAACTTTGAGAAGTATTTTAGTGATGACACGTGTCATAGCTAACATGTTGTAATGCTTCTCTTTTAATATATAGGGAATTTGACAATAGCAGGTGAGATTTCATATAGAAACGAGTGAAATGTTGAAATAATATAAGCTTGCTTTGAATTATAATCGAGTTATTAGGCGGAGAAATATTAGGCAAAAGTGTTAGTCGTTCTCATATCTTTATTATAAATAAAGATTAGCATAACAAATCAGTCACTGTGAACAGAGAGTTGTATTTAACACACTTTGGTTGGAACATCTACCTCAGAAGCAGATATAGTAAATTGGTTTCTATGAATGGAAAAAGTGCATTGTATTAGGCTTGTTTTGTTATAATTTTAAAAGATAACTTATTAGGTATAATTAGTATTCTGAGAGAGATGGCAAACCAAAAGGCCAAACCAGGTTTGAATACTTTTTTGGTGTTTACAAACTATAATGAACATAATTAGGTTGACAAAACATTGGTGAAGGTGAAGACTTTGTAACTTAAAATTATTCCGTATAAGAGATATAATGTTCAAACTGAAAAAAAAATTATAAGATTATTTGATTTTATTGATTGTGTTTTTTTCGATATGGATAACCATTTAGCTTACATGTTTAAATAAAACGATTCAAGACATATTAAGTCATCAACAAGGATTTATCTCAGGGGAATACATTTTTACTGATCTTTCCTTTTTGAGTTTGATCATGGTCTTTTATTTGCAGTACACATACATTCAGACAAACTCTTAAAAATTGGCATGGAGGCTACTATATCAGTTCGAATAAACATTATGTAATATTCATATTTTGACATACTATTTTATATTTAATCAGTTCGACTAAGTTTTAACTTTTATTTAATTCACATACTCATTTAAAACTATAAACTTCACATTTCTCCAGTAAGCACTGCTAATATCAATTTATACACTAAGTTTTAATTATCACACTTCTTTAAATAAAAATCTTTTACTTAAAAAAGTGAAATATCAATCAATGAAAAATTATGTTTATGTAACTCAATGACAGGCATCATTATACAATTCTAAGATTAGAGTTGATATGTACATAAGTTTTCTAAAAATGATATGTACTTTAAAAATAAACATAAATGATGAGGATATAAATATCATACATATTTTATTTTTCTAACTTATATTTCACATATATATATATATAAAAGTCATAAAATAATATTTAAATTGATATTACAAAAAGGAAACAAAATAAAAAAACTACTAAACGTTGTTTGGGTCAAAGTAGTTATGGCCGGTGTCATCTTGTGTCGTTGGATGTTGCGGCATCCCAAGAGCCGCTCGTCTCGCATTCAACGCTTGTAGCATAGTTGGATTTCCCACCGCAAAGAAGTGAATCCAAACGAGCCTTCTGAGATCCATTTGAGAAGTTTTCTCATCCCATCTCGAAACATATGACGAAGTCGCTCTTGGGACTTCGTTGACAGAGCCTATTCCCACAACCCATCCCTTCTTTCTGGGAGACACTTTTA